ATTCTATGATTCTATGATTCTATGATGCCGGTGAAGATGAGGTGCCAGTTGGGGTGGATCTGGGAACGTTGGAGCAAATGCAGAGGCTGGGATGGAGCAGCCCCGTATATTGGGCCTGGCTGGGAGCAGCTCTGCAGGCACTCCCATGCCAGCAGCACCCAGCTGGTTTTTTCCAGTGCTGGTTTAAAGCAAAGGTATGCTAATTCTGGGATGGGAGGTATCGCAGCAAGGCAGGTGGGGCCAGAAGGAAAAGGACGAGCAGGTGAGCTAGTACAGACTGGTGTAAACTGGTTTGTGTCAGGGAAGGGAGAAGCAAAGGGCAAAGCAAGGCAGAAAGAACTGGGGAGGAGAGATGGGAGCTCTGCCAAGACATAGGCTGCAAATGTGATGGCCACAAGGCATAGGGACCTGGACACGAGGGGACAGACAGCACTGCCTGGAGCAGAGGCACTGGCCACACCTGGGTGCATAAGGTGGACAGAGATACCACATCCCCAGGGTCTGACCGCTAATGTCTGCCTTTGTGAACAGACCCAATCCTAAAGGCATCTTTGTGGTTTAATGCTAAATTCAGAGGCATAAATAGAAGCAGGGCAAATCTAGGCACCAACCCCCCCCACCCACACACCCTATGATGATGTGATGTTAGAATCAGTTTCAACAAGCGCATGTTAAATCTTCAGCCCCAAGTGCTGTTGTCCGAAGTGGCTGAGTTCCCTCCCTGCTCTGAAAAGGGGTTTCTTTTCCTCCCTCCCAATCACCTTGCTTTTGTCACACTAACACAAGCAAAAAACAGGTCAGGCTAGTTTTCAGCAAGGAAAAAACAAGAAAAAAAATAAACAGGTCAAAAGTCTCCCCTGGATCTGAAGCAACAGAGACGTCTCCGACTTTTATTTCCCTTCCACTCTCCTGTCCTTGTTATTACCCAGGAACTTCAGACTCACATTTTTTTCCCCAGAAGCTGGAAGGGCTAATTTGGTACCCCTGTTTATTAGGCACCTCTAACGTGTGAAAACAGCCCTTCTTGGGTCTAAACCCTATTTAAATGAAGTCACTGTGCTGGCTTAACCCCAACTGCCAATGAGGCACCACCCAGCCACTCAGCCACTGCCCCCAGTGGGATGGGGGAGAGAATCAGAGGGTAAAAAGTGAGAAAACTCGTGGGTTGAGATAAAGACAGTTTTATAGGTAAGGTGAAACTCACGCACACAAGCAAAGTAAAACAAAGAGTTCATTCACCACTTCCCATCAGCAGGGGGGTGTTCAGACATCTCCAGGAAGCAGGGCTCCATCACATGTAAAGGTTACTTGGAAAGACAAATGCCATCACTCCAAATGTCCCCTTTGCTCCTTCTTTTCCCCATTGCTGAGCATGATGCCATATGGTATGGAATGTCCCTTTGGTCAGTTGGGGTCAACCATCACAGCTGTGTCCCCTCCCAGGTTCTTGTGTCCCTCCAGCCTCCTCACTGGTGGGGTGAGGAGCAGAAAAGCCTTGACTGTGTGTAAGCACTGCTCAGCAATAATGAAAATATCCCTGTGTTACCCACACTGTTCTCAGTGTATAGCCCCATACCAGCTGCTGTGAAGAAAATTAACTCTATCCCCGCCAAAACCAGCACACTCACTCAACACTCGATAATATTTTAAGCATTCAGATGAACAACATGACTGAGATTAACCTGAGCTGGTTTTTAGCTCCAGAGCCCCACAGGCTCCCCGTGACAGAAAAGCCCTTTAATTCATGCTCAAGTCTGCTCTTCCTCCTCAGGCACTGCCCTGTTACAGCCTAGGGCTCCTGAGGCTGTAAAGGGCTGTGTACCTGTGCGCAGCGAAGGGAAAATAGCAGCAATGACTCTGTTTGCAAAATCACAGCAAACCCATCTTTATTAGTGACACAGTGCTGGTGTATGTGAGAGCAGCCACGTACCAAAGACAAGAGTTGATTGCCTCTGCTTATTCAAGATTTGATTCTAATCATCCATATAATTCTCCTACGGTCTACCACACACCTTTTTAAATTGTATTTTGTAGGGGGATTAACAGCAGTGGTAATTCCTGGTGTTACGGTTGTGCCTCATAATTCAGCAATACCCTCCAGGGGTTGCAATAATCTATATTGCCCCTGAGGGCAAGTTAGATATTGTCCCTGTTTCTCATCACAAGTCAGAGATGGCATTTCCAGAAACGGTGTGAAAATGTTCTTTTGACTCAGCAGGTTTAGGGAGGGAAACAGGCTTACGTGGATGGGCGGCAGTTCAAATGACTTGACAGCAATAACCATATGCTGGAGGCATAAAGGTGTGGATCAGGGAGATTTTAGCACTTTGAACCCAATTATGTTATTCTGTTTTTTTAAAATGGATGTTTTTCCATGTGGGGTCCAATTACCAGCATCAAACTCTACCCAACCCAGAAGAGACTGAAGGGAAACAGATCGTGCCAGGATGTAGCTTTCTGTGGCAGGCTCTTTGTCTTCATTGCCATGGTCCCACAGAAAAAGCTGCTTGTTTATAATGTATACATTAAAAAAAACACCAAACTCAGCCTGGAAACTGCAGTCGTTGAACAACTTTCGTATTCATGGGGTGACCAGAAGATGCATGTGCGAGGGGAGCTCTTAGGATGATTTCCATCGCCGGAGCGAGAACACCTGATGGATCACGTACATCAGGGTAGCTAAGAATGCAAATACCTACAATGGAAAAACACATCAGCCAGTTAACTTTTTATTACATGGCATGAGTTCCTGCACTGAGCAAACACCTCATGATGCATTAGTTTTCTATTGATTCTTGCATGTTTGGAGACATTTGTGCGTAGTAGGATGGGGATCAGCCTCTCTCTCCCCTCCCGGAATGGTTGGTGCAAGTAAAGATTTGTGCTTGAGGCCACTCCACAGTCACCTCCCCACCTTCCTTCCCCTGCTTGCCAGGCACTCACCACAGCAGCAATGTTCTCCCGGTAGACGATCAACTGCAACGCTTGGGCGAAATAAGTAGAGGTGGCTTCCAACACGGCAGCACTGAGGTAGAACAGAGCTGCTGTCCCCTGGTAGATGGCATCCTAAGAAACAAGGAGCACACTGTTGTTTCCAAGGAGGGAACACACTGCAAAGGGGAAAAAAAGGAACCCACACAAGCAAGCAGCCCCAGCCTGCAGTTTGGAGTGCAGTAGCAGCAAAGGAGACAATTGTCTACCAGTGCTACTAGGGAGGGGAGGGGATGGGTCCTGAGGTTTGTCACAGCCACTTACCAAGGTGACCCAGGAGCTCTTGCCCCCATGTGCCCCGCAGATGTAGAGACACAGGAGGGTGGTGGACATGACGAAGCAGAACACTGAGACAAACATCACCCAGCCTTGCAGGATGGGTAACGGGACCTTTGAGGATGCCACCAGGATCCAGACAAGGCCCCCAAATATCTGCAAGTAAAAGTGAGAGAGAGGGCAAGCGTGGGATAAATTGGTTTATCCAGAGCAGAGCCAAAAGCCGTGCTTGCCTTTGGCACTAGTACTGCACATGGCAATAGCCCAGGGATGCCTTCGAGTTTCTTCCCAGCCTCCTCTTGAAACTGAGTATTCAGCTGGGAGCATCCACCTGTGATCTTGACCCACAAAACCCCTCACTGTAGCCCTGACTCCCGGTGTCACTCCTATTCATGCCTCCCCAGATCAGGGTGTTCAGGAGGCTGGTTCGGATGTTTGTGAAGTCTGGTTTCAACAAACAGGCTCATTTCAGAAGGAAACATTTGCTTCACAGCCAGTGTGGCAGATCCCCCAAAGGAGTCGTGTCAAACCTGGCTCACCCGCACAAGCAGCACACACGTGTGACCTCACGAAGGCCACATGCAAATGGCACCCTGAAAGGAGAGAGAATAGTTTGAAGAGAGGTAACATGGCCACTTTTACTCTCTGAGGTAAGGGAAATAAGGTTGAGGCTCCCAGCTCCTCCTGGGATGGGGGGCTTATAGTGCTGCTCCAATTATTTGGGTCCTTTGTTGGCTGTGCTGGAGCTGTGCGAGGTCCTCGCTGCTGGTCAGGTAGCTGGTGGGACCCCATCCTTCTCAGCCAGCCTTGGGAGTTGGCTGTGGGTTTTCCAGTGGGACGTGGAACACAAGGACATATCTAGACTCCATGCTTTCTCCACCAGAAGATTCCTACACAAGAGGATGAGAGCACGATGTCCAGTGCTGTGGAGTGTCCGAGCTGCAAGTGGTGTCTTTGCACTAAAATGCACCCAGTAGCTTTTCTCTGCCGCAAATCAGCATGGTTGTTTCTTGAACCTGTGCAAAGCTTAGTCTATGCAGCATCCTGCGATGAGGAGCTCCTCAGCTGAACTCATACTGCGTGGAGACCACTGTGTATCCCAGGCCAGCCTTTGTCAGCATCGAAGTGTCAACTCAAAATCATGGCCTTTCCATTTCCTTAGAGGCATTTTGCAAGTGGAAAAAAAAAAAAAGTTTCTAATTCAAAGTTCATTGGTTCCATTATGCAAATTGATACTTTAAATCAATGATGTGGTTGAGACCTTGCAAATATCTGGGTGAAAATAAGTCTTCCAAAGTGCTGCTGTTTTGGTGCTTCTTGTAACAACCAAAGAGTGGCACCTGAAGACTAATCCAGTGCCTGCAATAACTCGTGTGGTGACAACATGAGTGCGTTGTAGCTAAAGATTCTGGAGAAAACCTCACAAGTTGCTCCACTAAAGTCCAGCACAATTGGGGTGAGATGTGAGGTTGGGGGGAAAAGTATCACTTCTCATTTCTTACCACTCCCCATCTCTCCTTTCTACAGGATGTGACTTATCACTCAAGCAAGTATGTTTGACATGATTTGATTACTGACTTTGGTTTTATAGTGCTGCTGTTCAGAAGACTCATAAAAATGAGGAATAGGTCAAGAGGCTTTCAGTAACGACCCACAGGGGGTTGGGGACAGCAGTCTAAGAAAAACTTCTCTTTTAAGATAGCCTTTTACAAAGCAAACACATCTGTTTTCACCTTGTTTCAGCTCTTCCGCATAGGCCATATATGCAGAATGCTCTTCAAATAAAAGATGACAAGAATTAAACCCAGGCTCACAGAATAAAAATGGTAGTTCTTAATCAGCATACCCAGATGGGGCAATGACCTGAGCTGCAGGCAGGACCTTCTGGCATTTTCACAACTGCCTTAGCGTTTGAAATGCCTTTTTTCTTTTTCTTCGTAGTTACCATATTAACCCACTGCAGGCAACCTCAGATTCCAGTAAGGATTAAGAAACTCTGTCCTTCTGAATGCTGTGATTCAAGGCAGCCACCGCCTTTGTACACAACAAAGTTAATACAGCTGCACAGCCCAGCGTCATATACCTCCTGCGATGGAGAAATCCGGTTGTGCAGCATTCTTCTTTCCTGGGTGGTTCCTGAGCCTTTAGGATGTACATTTCGAGATCTTACCCAAACCAAAGGATAGGGTGCTTATCTTTGTCTCATTAAGAAAGCTGCCTTGCCAAATCCCCCCGGAGACAGGAGTTACAAACAGTTCAAGGCACAGCCGGTACCGTAAGCATGCCGAGGCCAACAGCACGCTCAGCACCAGGACTATCACAACCCCATGACAGGGGTGACTGGCAAGTGTCAGCCCAGCCAGAACCTCCACAGGGACTTGACACTTTGCTCTCAGGGCCTGGGCACAGAGAATGAGTCCCCGGAGCGTATCTGGAGGAGCTGAAGCAAAGCCTTTCTCTACACATCGGTAATGTCTGCTTTAACCCAACTCCCCTTTGCTTGACTGCTGTTACTAGAAGAATGAAGTAAACGCTGGAAATCCCAGGGGTGAGGACTGCGTTGGGTGACGGGAAAGGATTTGGTCCCAGATGGCAAAGTTGAAGTTTTTAGCATGAAATAATCTGAATGCCACCCTACAGCACTCAGCCAAACCCCTCAACACTGGATGAAAGCGCTCAGGCTTTGCAAAAAGCCTACCAGACTGTTGGGCAGGTTTCATGGTTGGGGGCAAGAGGACACAGGGAAAAGGTTCTAGTTGAAACTTTCCATCTTTTTTCAGTCAGTGCTCACAGCAACTGCTTTTAATCACCTGTGCCAAATCCATTAAGTTTATGATCATCTCCTGCTCAATGAAATTACAAGAAGTCCGAAGGTGTTTGTTCACCCTTTGCTCACCCACTGTTGCCCACACAGCCAGGTCCAGCACCCTGCAGCTCCGCTCAGGAACGAAAGCTGCAGCTGAGCAGGTTCTCCTCTGCCTGTACCAGCTGCTAAAATCATCCTCCAATTAATTAATTGTCTTTATTTGGCAACTTAGTTTAAGCCCACCAGCAACCCCTTCAATGTTGTTGAGCAGGAAGTTACAACAGGTTTTCAGAGGCACCACAAAACCCCCCTGCAGACTAAAGGGGAGCTTCTGAGCCCCCGCTCAGGGGTTATGGTTTTCTCCGAGGGTGAGCTGGGCACCCCGGGCTGCCCCCAGAGCTGGCATGGCTCCTGAACCACATGCTTTGTGTCTGGTCTCATCACCCAGACACCTGCAGCATGAAGTGTACCAGATGATGCCCCACAAGCAGCATCCATCCTCCCCCAGGGAAAAGCCAACACTCACGAATTCGGGAATGAAGAGCACATCTGGGAAAGTCGTCAGGACAGACAGGCCGCTGGGCAGGTGGGCGGTGGAAGTTGCCGAGGACATGGCGAGCCTCTCCCACGGTGGCTGTCAGCTGCTGTGGCTCTAACTGCCAGAGGTACTTGGCAAGTGCAGCCTCTTCCCCTCCCTCTTTCTCTTCCTCCTTCCCTCCCCTTCTTCCTGCTCTTCCTTCTTTCCTCCCTCCTTCCTGCTGGCCACACAGCTGTGAACAGCACAGGTGTGGCCAAACCCTGTGACCACGGGTTACTCGGTGGCTGACGGGAGCCACCGCAGAGGTTTTCAGGAGATGTGGCAGCCCCGAGGCATTTGGAGCAGAGCTGACTCTACATAAGTTGAGTATGCAGGGCAAGTCCCCCGGGGGCGGTGATGAGTGGCACCATCAGGGTGCCTCACCTCTGAATGCCATTGGGAAGACCTGTTACCCACCCAGGGTATGGCCTCTCATCCCCTTTATTTGCACAGTAAGTCAGCTTGTCCCCCACCCACATGGCAGCAGGCACAAGGGCAGCCAGCGGCCAGGGCGAGCCAGGACATGCCGGCTGCTGGCACGCAGCAGGGCTGAGAAATGTCTCGCAGGTGTAGGTGCATCCCAGGACAAGGGCAGTCAAATTGCAGGGCAGACCACTTCCATCGTCTCAGAAGGAGATTGGACATGCCAAGGTAACAAAAATGACCTAAAATAATGATAAAATAATGAGATTTCCCAAAGCATTTGTCTTCCTTTTTTTTTTTTTCCTTCTTTTAGTCTGCAGTCCAGTCCATGGGAATGGGTCATTCCTCTCTCCATAATACAGAGTGTTCACGTCTCTTAACACGCTCACATGGATACCCAGCAAAACCACACAACTCCAGAAGCTAAGGCCAATGACATGAACCATCAGGAAAAGGAGCAACGTGGCGATGCACATTGCTACGGACCAGTGCCCCATGGAAGAAGTGCCCGTTTATATACGGTGCTTGCCCTTCCGCGGCTGCTCCCACGCACAAGGTTTTGGTGCAGGGGCTGAAGCAGGAGGTAGGATTGCCTTGTTTTTGGCCCCAAATGCCTGGCACATGCAGCTCCGATAGCAGCCAATGTCAGGCCTAGAGTCTCCAGCCAGCCCCCTCACAGCTGCAATGGGCGGCATGTTTCAGTCATAGAATAGAAACACAGAATCATTAAGGTTGGAAAAGACCTCAAGGATCATCAAGTCCAACCGTCAACCCACAACACGTAACTCACTAACCCAATTCCCCAAGCACCACATCTACACGTTTCTTGATCCCCTCCAGGGATGGTGACTCCACCACTTCCCTGGGCAGCCTGTTCCAATGCCTCATCACTCTTGCAGTGAAGAAATTTTTTCTAATATCCAGCCTAAACCTCCCCTGGCGCAACTTGAGGCCGTTTCCTCTTGTCCTATCACTTGTTACTCTAGAGAAGAGGCCAGGACCCACCTCACTGCACCCTCCTTTCAGGCAGCTGTAGAGAGTGATGAGGTCTCCTCTCAGCCTCCTCTTCTCCAGACTGAACCCCCCCAGCTCCCTCAGCCGCTCCTCGTCAGACCTGTGCTCCAGACCCTTCCCCAGCTCTGTTGCCCTTCTCTGGACCTGCTCCAGCCCCTCAATGTCCTTCTTGTGGTGAGGGGCCCAAAACTGACCCCAGGATTCAAGGTGCAGCCTCA